GAAACTCGACAGGATGCTCGATGCGTCACTGGATCTTCGACGCATCCTCCCGTTTGGCAGATCAGGATGCTCTGCATTAGGATCAGGTAAGTCACTGACTGCTGCGATAGTTGTACGCCGATTGCCGTTACGCGAGACTGCGCGCACAGCCGAAATGTTAGCAGGAGGGGCTTTTGCCTTTCGGTCACGTAGTTGCATCCGTTCGTCGGGACCAGTCGGCAAGCCCACGGTCGATTGTCGCTCCTTTCGTACCCTTGCAGCTTCTGCATGAAGTTCGTCATGTGTGCAGCTCAACGTTTGTCGATCGCTAGGGATAATGATACGGGACAGTTCATATGCAGCAACGGCCCAGTCGACGTCGGGTGGTGGGGGCTCATACACTGCATCCAGAGAGAGTCTGGCATGCAGAGATGATAACGAGCGCTTTTCGCGAGCATGGTCGGTCATCTTGAGAGTAGATGCTTGTGTTGGCGAAGAATAATTTCCAGCCTTGTCTTTAACCTTTGAAGCTGGAGGCTGTCGGCCTGTGACGACAGCTTCGAGCTCTTGAAGATTTTGGAGTGCCCACCAATCTGCCGAGTAGGTGAAGTGTTGACCAGCGGCAGAGGAAGGGATGTCTTGAACCCAATTGTTAATCGTTTGAAATCGATTTCCCGGCATGTCTGACGAGCCCTTGTTTCTGGTGGCAGGGTTATCACCCGCCATGCCACAAATATGGCTCAGAACGCCCGAAGTCAGAGCTCGATCACTGTATCCCCCTTCTAGAACGCTGATGACTCGGCCCTCAACACCGAGATCGTCTTCATGCGCAAGTCGGACAATATCGGCCGTAAAGCGGGCGTAGAACTCTGTCGGAACATTGACACTGTGCCTCTGCATGCCTGCACCTTCCCACTCGCTGGCGTCAAAGCCTGCTGAGATGAAAATGGCAGCCTTCGGCGACTGGTTCCCAGAAGCGCGCAACTTTGCCGTGTGTTGACGCAGAAACAACCTCGCTTTATGAAGCAGAATGATGTACTTGGACTCGTAGAGTTTCCAAAACTCTTCAAGGCTCGTCCATGGCTCCAAGTGGACATTCCATATGGACTGGCCGTGAGCACCTTCGATGCACAAACTTGCATTTCGCACCTTCTCTTCGTCGCCCCACTCGCAGGGATACGAGTTGATGTCGTGGAGGCTGTAATAGCCGATAGGGGTCTTCTTGTGCGCGGCAGCATTCTTAGCTGCACCTTGTGCCTTGCGGTTGTGGTCCCAGGCAATGTTCTGGGAACCGTCTCCATGGTGTAGATCAAAGTCGATAATGGCCGCATGTGTCAGGCCATGATTCATAGCCGCATAGGCGATCCCCACGTGAACATTGTTCAGCCAGCAGAAGCCTGAAGGGTAATTGGAAGAGCAATGATGGCCAGGAGGTCGGATGCAGACGAAAGCCCTCTTGGTAAGCGGCGACGAGAACACCGTATCCACTGCATCGCAAATTCCCCCGAGACAGCCTTGAAAAGCAGCAAGCGACTCCGCACACAAGTACAAGTCGCCTTCATGCAGCTTGGGCAGGGCATTCCCATTTTCATCCTTCCCATATCCGATTGGTCTCACCAACTCTTTCCCGTTGAGCGCCAATCTCCCTTCGGCCGTGTCGCACATGATTTGCAACTCTTCCATCCATTTCGAGCCGTGTACGAAAGCGACTGAGGGGTGGTTGAGAGGAATACTCCGGAATGTCTTGCGAATCTGGAATGGGATGTGACACACCCGTGACGGTTCGTGCTTGGGGCAAGGCGCATATTCACCGTCAGCATGCCGTCCTCCTAGGCGCACATAGGCAGCAGACGCCCCCAACAGCGTGGCGTGGATTCTCTCTGGGCGCTCGACAATTGTGGCGAGGGCATTCTTTGAGGTGCGCGGACGAGAAAAGCGATGGCCGTAGCATGAATCATGAACTATCACCACTACAGGGGACTGCAGGGAGGTATGCGCTTCCAGCTCTTTTCCAAAGTACTCCTTCGCTACCGAATTGGCAGTGACAGGCGGTCGTTCTGGAAGCGACATCTTGCCATTTGCTGCAGGAGAGAGAGGGTTGAGATTAGAGGAGGCCCGACGGTATTGAGGTGTGCTGCCCCTGGTATTACTCAGGCTGGAGGTTGACCTTCTGGTGGTCAGTGTTGGAGTGGATTGTCTCTCTTGTCTCTCCCCTCGATATGAACTCGCGACAGACGGCGAGCGCGAAGGCGGTTTCGGCGACAGAGATTTGGTCTTGGTCGGCGCAGGGGTGTGGTAGGGACTGCGCATGGGGGAAGAGGGCGGCAGGGGTATTTGCGCGGCAGCACTCAGCAGGTTTGGGTGCGCATGGGTGTGGTCTCGATGATTCACTTGGATTGTGGGTGACATGAGACCCAGGTTTGTTGTGGTAAAGGCGCTGGTGGTGTCTCGGGGGGCGTCGTGCTCAATAGAGGGCGTCGGTATGTCTGGATCCATGGCTGTGCACTTTTCTGATATTCTCCTTTCTTGAGAAGTGGTGGTGTTTCCTCTATTTCTTTCTCTTTTTCTGGATGCACCACGAACCAGTATAACTCTGAAAGGATCAAACGAGAGGGAAGAGTCTCCATCCGGGAAGTGGGTTTCAAAGCCTCTTTGACACCAAACAACGTCATTTGGCTGGGCTGTTGAACCCCCTTTTGGTCGCGTTGCTGGCTGCGCGTCGTGTTTGGCGCATCTGCTCCGCCGTTGCAGCCTTCCGCCTTGGTCGTCATTGGCTCCAATCAGTTCCTTCATCCGATGCAAGATGGACGAAGACGCAATCTTTCGAGATTCCTAGTGTCAAGTGCGCAATGATCGCGACATCTTTCTCATTCTGCTCCTCGTCCATACAGAAATGCAACTCACCACAAGCTTTCGCTAAACATGAGGCTATCTCACCACCGTTTCATTACCCGTCTCTGGATCTCCAGCATCTCAAAGCCTCTACGACAGGCTTCCTACTCTGGGACCTCCGAAGTCGCTGATGGTCATCATCCGCACTTCTGCAAAGGCACCTCATCCTCATTATCTCTTCGCCGAACTAATCCTATCTCTGCTCGGAAAACGATTTCGCAGCAAGCAAGCCAGCAAAGTCCCACCAAGATCGGTAGAAAAGGTTGGATATCGCACCGAGAGATGACAAGGTAGGCAATTGTTCGTCTGTCTTTGTCCCTGCTATTACTTCAAAGACGTACATAACACGCGATAATTGTTACCATTTGCTTTCCCTATCACGACTTCTCCTCACCCACGCGGAAATGGCCTACAAGCACCTCGTATAGGCATCTCCATTGGATCTAAGATTACCCGTCAGCCATCGGGACATTTGCCGATATCTCCACACCCTCAACCGCTCATAGTCGGAGATATCTCAGCTCCTCCACGTGTACGTCCCCAAATATGTACTTGAGCATCTGAAACGAGCAGAGCATTAAAAATGAGAGCAAAGTTACTCGTTACACCTGTCTCTAGTCTTAATTGACCCGCTCTCCTAGCACAACCATGACTACCCCTCCGCGCGTCCTCGTCTTTGGCACTGGCAGCGTCGGCACCGTCTACGCCTGGATCCTCTCCCGCGCCGTCGGCGAGGGAGACTTGTACACGGTCTGCCGATCGAACTATGCTGTTGCCTCCACGGCGGGCTTCACCATCAACTCGACAATCTTTGGGGATGGCCTCAAATTCAAACCCCAAGTAGTGCGGACCGTGGATGAGGCTGTCTCGCTCTCGGGAGGCAAACCATTCGACTACGTCGTTGTCACGGCCAAGGCCATCCAGACAACGCCATCAATGCCAGAGCAACTCCGCCCGGCAATCTCCCCCCACACGACTATCGCAGTCATACAAAACGGCATCGCCGTCGAAAAACCATATCAAGCGCTCTATCCAGACAACCCTCTGCTAAGCTGCGTGGTATACCTCCCCGCCACGCAAATTGCCCCTGCTGTGGTCACCCACCGTGAGATCGCGCTGCTGCACATTGGCACATATCCCTCCAACGCATCTCCCGAGCACAAAGCCAGGGCAGAATCGTTCTCTCGCCTCCTCAACGCAGGGGGAGGCCGCACGCAGGTGCACGAAGACGTGCAAACGGAGCGCTGGAGCAAGCTGGCCGTCAACGCGAGCTGGAACCCCGTGTGCGCGCTCTCCCGTTCCCGCGATGCCCAATTCCTCGCGTCCTCCCCGCCAGAGTACGCGTTGAACCTGATCAAGTCGCTCATGACCGAGATAGCCTCTGTCGCACAGGCATGGGGCTACGACAACATCAACGCCAAGACTGTAGAATTCCAGATCGACCGAGCCAAGGCCAGGGAACTGCCCGGGGTAGAGCCCTCGATGCTCGCGGACGCAAAAGTCGGCGCGAGGATGGAGGTCGAGGCCATCGTGGGCAACGCGGTCCGACTGGCTGAGGAAAAAGGCGTGCGGACGCCGTTGCTTAGGGGAATCTACGCTCTCATCAAGGCGTTGGATGCCACTTTCCAAAGAGACTCCGAGAAGAAGGTATCTGCTCAGTGACAACAGGGAACAATCAGAGGAGCAAGTCCACGCTTTGAGGTTGTCTTTTTTCGGCAAAGATTTGTGAGGGTGTTTGTTTTTGACAACATTTCCTTGTTCCTGGATATATAAATAACATTGTCTGATAGAGACTTTTTACAGGGTAGAAATTAGAAGAACTTGACACACAACCATGCGCTTGCGCACTTTCCGACTTCGTTCTATGATCGGAGGACTTGAACCGGGCATGATAGATAGTAGGTTCTATCGGAGAAAAGACTCCACACGTAGACCAGAGATGATCTCAGCCACTAGTAGGCGTGTTCTACAGTCAACAGGAAACATATCGAGTCTCTGACGAAGGAGCATTGAAGTTCGAGGTGCTCGCTCGGTCAATTCGTCAAAGGTCCCTGTCCCTACAGAGTCCCACGACCTTGGGTCCCACGCATCGTTGATCTTTGTTATCAGGATACTGTACATCACGGCGCTCATATCTCGATGCCCACTCCCTGGAGCGCCTCGACCGCCCATCCCGGGGGAGACTGGCCATTGAAATAATTTGCAAAGAATTGCTTGCAGAATGAGGGGTATTGGTCATCTATTATGGCCGTGCGGATTCGTCGCATCAGGGAAAGCAAGTGATGTACGTTGTGCATCGTCAGTCTGTGGATGTCTCGCGTCAATCAGGAGATCTAATCAGAGAGCTGAGAGAGCTGAGAGGAACCAAGAAGCACGGCTAGACGGTAGACAAAGAGATCGACAACTTACAAGTGAGCCCCCACAGTCTCCTTCGCAGCGAGGTGGTAGATGTACGCCCTCGTGATGGCCAACCCTCCATCCTCTTTGGGACGACAGCAGGTGCAGGTACAGCCTTGCTCGACAGGTCCGAAGTCATGAGCATACCGAGAATTTTTGAGGTTCAGGACGCCGTTGGAGGTGATCGCGTTGCCAAAACGCTGCAAGATACACAGATTCATTCCTCGGTCAGAATGATGGCATTGAGGGTCGATGTGGAATCAAGGCATGTAAACTCACTGCCGTTCGTGTGGGCCACACACAATCAAACATATCTGCTCCGAGAGCTACGGCGACAACGATATCTTCTGGATAACCCTGCGCTATAGGTAAGTGTCTGTCCAGTTCCAGCAACGAGAGAGATGATCGTACAATACCCATGACGTATCTTGGCTTATGGTCAGGTAGGAGGCTGGTGCATGTATCGACGCTTTCCAGGGGGTCAGCGTTCGGGCATCTCCAGACAGAAATGAGTAAGGGAGGTTCTTCTGTACACTTTGCAGAAATCTGACTTGGCTTCTCCGCCAGACAAACCACCGATAGCTATGCCTGGGGTATCCCGCTTGACCATTTCCTCGCAGCACTGTCGCCTCACGTCTAGATCGAGACCGCCTTGAATGATGCAAAATAGGTTCTGTGTCTCAGGGTTCTTGTGTGCAACTATGCATCTGTCGAGCCAGCGGATAGAGCGTTCCATGGCCTCCTTCATCCGGGCATGATCAGGCGATGTCGTCTGAATGACATCGTCAAGCTGCATCATGATATCTGAGCCGATGGAATTCTGAAGAGACATTGAATGCTCAGGAGTGAGGAGCCTATGGATGACATGCGTAAGTCTCTGAAGGGGACCATTTGCTGCATCTGGGTCGTCACATACATTGGACTGCCATCATGGGGGCTGAGAAAGCGCACGCCTTCCTCGGTGATCTTTGCCAGCTTGAGCAATGAAACCATTTGAAAACTTGAGGCATCTCGAATCAGTCACTTATCCTTGGGCAGAGAGGGTGCTGTGCACCACCAACCCGCCACTGTCCGTCAGGATATTGTAATTCCATCCTTGTAATCTATGGGCACCGCCAATCGTGTCAAGCACCGCTTGGCCAGGTTTCAATCCCAAGTGGTATGTATTGTTCAGACATAATCTGCAACCAGTCTCTTCCAATTGTTCCGGGGTCAATCCTTTCAGAGATGCTTGGGTGGCGACGGGCATGAAAATGGGCAGGTCGACTGGACCATGAGGCAAATGCAGCGTCGAGGCACGGGCTTTGGATGTCTAGAAAGATGGCGGAGGAAATTTGTCAACGGCGGGGATCGATCTTGCAGCAAGAGGGGGGGGTAGATGGGGCGTCATGACTGCGTACCGAACACCGGGCCTTGCGATCAAAGGTCAGCGCTGAGGGTTTTGTAGCGGTCGACATGGCGGCGACTGGTCCGAATGCATAGGGACTGGCGGTAATTGCCTGCTTTGCGGCGGTGAGGATGTCAAGACGCGGTTTGGTTACTTGACGGGTCCAGTGCATACGAAATCCGGCAATGGGAAATGCACTCGTCCGTAGAGCCAGGTGGCACGGGGATGTATCTCTACACGTCAACTTGGCTTGCCGGGTACTTGACAGATCACTGGTGCAAAGTACGACAAAGGAATCTCGGTTTAACTGTGATGGACATGGCGAGGTGGAAACTGAATTTTGGGATGTGACGAGTTGTGGCCCAGAACTTTTTTCTCGGCCACGCCTCGTCCCTTTCCTCCCATCCTTTCCATTCCTCCATCCCTCCTTTTACCACCCCCTCTAAACAACAGCTGTCGTCCCTTGATTCGACATCCAGAACGTCGGGTCATGCGAGGGACGTGGCTTGAGAGTCTCCAAATCGCTCATTGACAGTAACACGACAGGTCATGGTACACAAACATTTTTGCCTCCATGCTGCAAGCCCATGCTGCAAGCCTAGATCTTCCAAGCTCCACCCGCCACGACACGAGGCATAGGATGATAAGTTGGTTAGAGAAGAAGAAAAAATTCCCCATGTCATGTGCGCTGATCGGACACCTGCGCGGGATGAGGTGCAGGTAGAATCAAAACATAAGCATGCGATATCATAGATTCATGCATTTTCTTCTATCAACCCTGAAGAGCGGTCAAGAAAATTCGGGCAAGGACTGAGACCTCTCCTTTGGTCGACAGTTTGAAGCCTGAACAAGAGGACAGACTGGTTCTGATCTCTCTTGGAATCTGGGGGGTTTTGTTTTTCTCTCCTTTTCTCTTGATGAGAAACAAGCGGCAGATGTGAACAAAGGAAAACGATAATCCAATCCCAAAGAAAAAGAAAGGCCCCCTCCTAAAACCCCCTGCTGTCCTGTGTCTGTGTATCACCATAACGCCTTCGCTATGCTCTCATTCGAAACCCTTATTTTGCCCCATAGGACACAGCAGGTATTGAGACAACTTCCCCACCGGAAATGCGACTTCGTATCCTGCCCGCAGCTTTGGATCTGATTGCAAACCCTGTATTGCTCTCAAGCGCACATCGCGACACTAGACTCAGCGAGCCCAGGGCCCACCATAGCCCGACTGTGCTCGGTAGACAGTGGACTGACCAGCGGTGATCGACGGGTTGCGCAGTTTGGTGCAGGCGACTTCTGCAGCGTCTTCTTTGGCGTTGTTGAGGTATTGCCCATCATACCAATATCTTGCTGCAAGATTCTGGCCCTGAATTGTGACTGTCGCAGACCAAGCTGTACGGCCACCTAAAAAGCCAAGCAGAAGAAATCAGCGTCCGGGCGATATCGAGAAAATTTTCTGGTAGAATGACCGAAAGAGGACCTTTCAGTACACGAACTCACCTCGACGATCAGAAACAATATTGAACTGGGGAGCTGGCAGTCTCAGCTTCCGGCACTCAGCTATCAGCAAAGTCAGCCAAAGACGCAGCGGACGTAGCAGTGCGAGTGTTACCAGCAAGCTCTTCCTGCCAGGTCTTGTGGGTTTTGGTAGCCATGTTAGATTTCAAACGTGGACAGGTCTTTGGCTAGATGGCGAGAGCTCTTGATCGAATTACTTGATGTCTTCGTCGAGTATATTTGATCGTGTTGACAAGTAAAGGGCCGAAGTAAGATGATGACCACAACCACCCGGCGTGACGAAGAGAATGGACTTTATATTCAAAGAAATCCCAAGGGCAGCTCGAATGCTCAGCTAGGGACGCAAAACAAAGTGACTGAGCGAGTGCCAAAATCAAGGAAGGCGAGCTGCAGGTGCTCCAGTATTTCCTTTCCACGACAGAGTCCTTTGTCTATCAAGGCCGCTTCATTTCAAGGTAGGGCAGCATTGAAAACAACTGAACATCGAGGAGATAGGTTGACTTTGTGCGACATGATCTGAGATCTCGTGACACTTGGAGCATCGATTGACCAGCGGCCCTGGCATCATCTATGAAAGGTTTCGTGGTACAAAGGAGCGAGACTGCAGAGGACGTGAGATGTCAAACGTGGGTAGAGGATGGGATGGAAGAACGCAAAGCAAAAAACAGAGCCACCAGCCTCACCAGAGAGATGCTGCCAACACATCAGGTATCCGGCAGCGTACAGTAGTGGGACCAAAGGTCCGGCCCCAAGCGCAAGCGATGATATGCATGATGGCGTAGAAAAAAGAGAACTCTGTGACAATCAAAGGAATTGGGGGAAAGGGCCCACGAAAGGCTAGAAGGAAACCATTTAATGGCGGATGGCAATATCCAAGTGGGGGCGGCACCGCTGGTGCCGACCGATCGAATGCAAGATAGCGGCGAAAAAAAATAGCACAAACTGTTTCCATCGGTGATATGTCCACATCAATCCGACTCGATGGTCGTGGAGATTTTGGAAGCAGTCAGGGAGCTTCCGAACAAGGATTGTAATCTTCCCTTTTCTCTTGCTGCATTCAGAGTACGTCAAAAATCAGGGCTGGTTTCCCTATTGGTCGCCTTCGATGCTTTCGGAAATAATTTTGCATTTGGGCAGCAATCTGAGCTGGACGGGGGGGTGTGTGTGTGTGTCAGAGCACGCATGAGATCGATCCACGTCTCGCATTGAACCGAACTGCCGCCCGAGAATGACGAGTGCCTGCTCTGTGAGATTGGGTATAGTGGCGTAGGATGAAGGTCTATGGGGACATTTCCTAGAGGACAAGCCAGACAGAAGGCGAGAGGCGAGGATGCGGGTAACGATTTGATAATGAGGATTAATTAGTCGGTAGGAGAGTAACACGATCCCTAGTAACAACCCCGGAGTACAAGGAACCTGATTCTGAAGTATCCAGTCGTTTCGGGCCAAAGCAAAGACCGGGGGGGTACGCATGAGGGCCAAAAAAAGTCTGAAGAAAAGGGAGGCGAGATCCCTGCCTCTGAGACCTGTAACTGACAAGGGAACATTGGGGAAGCTTAGGCAGACAGTAAGCAGTGGTGTTCAATAGAAAGTAACGCGGCATTGAGCCGTCAAAGCGTGGCAAGAGTTTTGAGAGCTGTGCAGCAGTAGCATCTTGTCTAGGATGATGGAGGCATAATGGTTGGAGCTGATGCAGAAGAGGAACAAAAAACAGAGTGGGCGCAAATGAGGACAACGGACGTGGAAGGCCATTTGGTCAGCAGGGGTAGAGGAGCCAATCACAGCAGCTAGTGACGGAAGCCAAGACACTAACACCGAATACAGCTTAGACTGGTCTTATACAAGTTTGTCCAGGCCGAATACTCCATACGTGGAAGTACATACAACTGCCTAAATACATAGTACCATACCCAGGTATCCAGTCAGTCACCAGTAAATGACTTGTCATGTCTCAATAAAAGTAACTACGCTTTTTATTTGTACAGCTTCGTCCCACGAAAGCGTGGACAACTATACCATGGCATCGGTTTAGCTATACATTTCCAATGGCTATTCATCTTGTGGAACACGAGTCATGCAGAATGGAGCCGTCCATTCAGGCTATGTCGTGTCCTGTACCTCCTGATTTCCGTCGTCCAAGCGTTGTTCCCAGCGCTGACCTGCCCGCATTTGTCCAGACATGACTGCCTTGATCAACCCTCGGCCACAACTTGGCCCAATGCAAAGTCTGTACAAGAAATGTGACGGATTCGACAATGACAACGTCTCGACAGTCCATCGTCCACGTCCTTTCCATTTCGTCGTCGCGATGTATTCTACACCGCCAGTAGCTCTGTGTAACACCGCCGCAAGGGGAAATCCAGTCCCGTGTTTGTGTTCGGACCGAACAAAAGGTCGAGATGAGAGGAGGAGAACAAGTCAATAAAGTGCCGTCCGGGACTGGTCAAGCGTTCCTGGATCAAGAGCGGTGTGGCTCATCCCAGTGTCTCCTGATGCAGTCATCCACCAGAGACATGAGTCCAGTTGCCATAATCACGTCTCCCAAGTCATTGGAGATGTCCTTCTCCGTCAGCCGCAAGCTGCACGGTGGAATCCAACCACCCAGCGCCGCTTCTTGCCGGCTCTGTCTTTGTGACAGCTTGTCCGGAGTGATATGAGCAATGCAAACCCCCGAAGACGACTTGATCAGCTCAAAAGAGAATACCAATTCGGACTCATCCCGATAGATATTCCGCTTCCAAGAATACCGCTCACCCCAATACTCAAACTCATACTTGCTGTCTCCTGTCTTACTCCGCTCTAGGTCAACCTGAGCGTAATTCGAAAACTCGAGTCTGATAGTGTCTGTGGGAACAGTGGCCTTGACGTCGACTTGCGCGGCAAAAGAATTGAAATCATCGTCCGACTCCTCATCTCGGATCTCTTGAACCGGCTTCGGCCGAGGTTTGCTCTTCAGTGTTCTGAGGTTGATCTTGGCGAGGGTCGAGGTAAATGAGCGCCGCCGAGTTGAGGATGACGGAGATGATGACTTCTGGGCGACCGGTTTCAGATACTTCCGCTTCGAGTTGCAGACTTCTCGACCCGACTGCCGCTGATATCGACGAAGTGAGAACTGGCGTTCGGCAAGATCGTACATGCGAAGATGGAACAGAGTCAACTTCAGCTTGTGTCCTCTGGAGATGGCCAACTCAGTATCAATGCGGAGATTCAGATTTCCATCGGGGGTGGTGTCGTCGTGTTGAATGAGGATTCTTCTCGTGGAAGGAAACAACTCTCCGAATTCAACAGGCGTGGTTGGGATCGCATCAGGCTTGTAGCATATATGTCTCATCAAGGGACATAAGCTTGGAGGTCTCGATGAATCATTGTCATCATCGTCAGATACGATTGTGGATGTATATGTCTCGGTTGATGCTCGAGGGTCTTGTTCATATTCGTGAGAAGGGCTCATATGCCCGTCAACAATCTCACGCTCCTCGTAGTTGTGGTAATGCTTGACGATGGGCTTGGTGTCGCTACAAGAGGTTTGAGTGGTATATTGAGTGTAGCTGGAGAGGC